AGAAAAACAGCTGGATTGTCTTTAAATGTTTATTTTTTTAAAACCCAAACATAAATGTTCTGATTACAAATACAGCACACTTTAATACACAAATAGCTTCACAAGATCAAATATAAAAAAACAACTTTAAAATGTTCAATCAGTGCAATTAGGAGTAAAACAGCCGATGTGCAGAATTAAAACAGTTTAAACTAATGCACAAAGTTATGGTTTTTATCAATATAAGAATGAGGACAAGATTTAAATATTAAATAGAAATACTGTGTACAGTTATTTAATTTGCAGTTTGATTCTTTAATTGTTATCGTTTTAACTGACATTTTGTTTAAGTAAAGGAAAAAGCTAAAAGGTGAAGGAGTGAGGTTTTATTAGTGATTATTTCTATTTTCCTTTTCAGAAAAGGAACTGATGAAAAACAGGTAGAAGAGATATCTCAAAGATTTATTCATTTATGTTATTGATTTATCCAATTCTGCTTTGTTGTCTTTCCATCTGACTATTTTGTTCTTGTGAAGCTCTGAAAAAACCCTAAACTAAACTTAAAATAAATAACAGAAATACTCTGACAATGTTGGTCAAACATGTAAACAAATCTTCTTCCAAATGGTTCAGAGCACCAAGCATAGAACTAGGCTGAATAGATCTGCTCTTATGGATCAGGCACATTGCCACCAATAACTAATCTAGAATATTTTTCAATATTGGGACCGATACAGATATTAATATATCGGCTTGGTGCATCTGCAGATGGAGAGTCGGTGAAGAGAGATAAATGAGGGTGAAATGAAGAGGTGCAGGTGTACAGCCAGATGATGAGAGCGTTGTCACGGCGATAAGATGGTGTTGCACTGAACCAGAAGAGCTTCGCCTTCTGCATGGCTGGCGCCGATGACAGGACAGGATTCCCTCAGCTCCGCCGCTAACTGGATGAAACCTCCAACCGCTCCGTTCCTCCAGCCTGAGTCCGTCCTGCTATCAGTCATTTTCTCACTTTTCCTCCCACTATGCTGTTTTTTTTCTTTCTGTTGCTTTAATAAGACGACAGCGTACACTGTAAAAACACAAAATCCTCTGGTTTAGTTTCTGCAGCAAATATGAGACAGAACTTACCTTCAAGTAACTTTTCAGTAAGATATACGAGTTTGTTTTAGGCCAATAATTCCTTAATATTGGTAAAAAGTTCTAGTTCTATTGGCAGATTATTTCACTTATAACATGGGGAAATGTCTTGTAATGGAACTAAAACTTTTTTTTAATCAATATTAAGGAATTATTAACCTAAAACAAACTTCTACATTTTGCTGAGATGTTCCTTTGCAGTTTTGTCTGATTTCAAGTGTTCTGAATTATTTTCATAACTGAACCAACTGAACCAGCCTGGGAAGCTTTCAAGTCAAGTCAAGTTTATTTGTATTTCACATTTGAAAAACAAGGCAGTTCAAAGTGTTTCACATCATAAAAACATCATGCAGTCATTACACAAACATTACATTTGGTCAGATTTCATCAAAATCATCAAGCAAACGCATCAGATATGTTGACCAGTGTGAGAGGCAGCTCTAAACAGGTGAGCTTTCAGCCCTGATTTAAAGGACCTCAGTGTTTCAGCAGCTTTTCAGTTTTCTGGAAGTTTATTCCAGATTTGCGATGCATAGAAGCTGAAGGTTTGTTTTGTATACCTGTGATAAATCACAGGCTCCAGGCCTTTTTCTCATTAGAGTAGCCAAAGAAGGACAATGGCAACTTGAGAATGGTTCGAAAATGCTTCTAATTTGATCATGGGGTGTGTGGGCGCGTGTGTGTGCGTGAGTGTGTGTTTGTGAGGGTGTGAGGAGGGGCTTTGTGCACTCGTGCAGGGAGAGTGGATGGAAATCGCCTCTGTACAGGATGAAAGCCTCGGAGGACGATCCATTGACTATGAAATGTGATGATCCTGCTTCACCCTCTGACACCGGGAGAGTTCAGCTTAACATTGCCCTGGGCACTAAACCTTGGATTCTGCTGTGTGAAGACTTCAGAGTGTGTTCATAATCAGGCGTGCCGCTCTCTCTCTCTCTCTCTCTCTCTCTCTATCTCTCTCTCTCTCCCTCTCTCTCTCCCTCCCTCTCTTTTTGACATATAAAACACCTGCCTCATTCTTCATCTCCTTACATTGTACTCGCAACATTTTAAAATTGCATTCTGTCTGTCACACACTCCGTAAGGAGATGGATGACTCATGGAAGTTCTGAAGGTTTATTTCCATATATTTTCGCTCATAACTGAATGATTCACTGGCTTTCTCTGTGACTGTGAGTGTATTTGAACGGGAAGATTTGTGTGAAATTATGCTTTGCATGTTGCTGTTAAGTCAAAGAGAAGTGTTTATGCAAGTGTGTGTTTCTGTATCCCAACACAAGCCCCTGGTTGGGTGACGAGTTGTTGGCACGGTTGTGGTACCCTGCTGGGACCAACCCTGCCCAAGCAGCCTGGTGGAGGGGACAAGCTGTGGCATGTATGCACACACACACACACACACACACACACGCACACGTACACGCGTGTGCACACACACACACACGCACACACACACACTCTGTGCATATCCAGGAACACACATAGAGCAGCTGCTCCTTCTGCAGCTGCTGCTGTCACCCAATGCGCAGCTCCCTGATCCACAGGACGATGGGAGGAGAAGAAAAAACAGAAAATAAAAGGGAGGGGAAAGCGAGAGAGACGGAAAAGTGGGAAGAGGGTTAGAATAAGGGAAGGAGAGAAAGCTGAAAAAATAAACAGAGGATATGAGGAAGGGATGAGGAAGAAGAAGGTAATGGAAATAAATTTCTAAGGAGGTTCAACTGGAGGAAGATTTAAAGCAATACACACACAGATAATCAGCCTCCACTCCAATCTACACCTGTTACTGATAGAAAGTCTTAAATTAGAGGTAGAAATATTTTGAACTGAAGTTTTGATGCTAAATACATTTATCAAACAATGACATTGGCTGCTACAGTTTTCACTCTGACCTGATCTGATTGCTGTTCATGTAGAACAACACGGCATAGAAAGCAGGTGAAACATCAGTCATTACATGTTATAATGTTAAAGAAAATTATTGAGTTTATAATCAAGCTATCAAGTTTATTTGTATAGGACATTTCAGCAACACAGCAGTTCAAATGCTTTACATAAAAACATCTTAAACATGTCATACAGCTGTGAAAACCCGTAACAGAAATTACATTTAGTTCAAATCCTAAAAACATATCAAATATGTTGGTAAATGTTTGATTTCTAAAGCATGAGATGAAATATTTTAATGATTTACCAGATTTACCACATGAGCATATTTTATCAGCCAAATCAACGGGTCATATCAAAACAGAGAGGAAACATGCTAATGCTAGCCTGAAATCTTAGCAACCTGTTCTGCATGAAAACATCATCAGCAGAAACAAAACTTCAGTTAAAGACACTCAAGCCCACAAAGAACTTCATGAATGGCTCACAGAGGCTCATGTCATGATTCTGGTTGTCAGAATGTCGACTAACAGAACCTAAAATCCAAAGTCCGTTCGTTTGATACCAGAAGAGGAATGTCGAGAAGCTCTGGAGAGCATCTCCTACCCTTTGGATAAAAGTGTTTCACAATGAATAAACATAAAAATAACTACAGACTATGACTGTATGAGTTGGGACAAATATTTAATAATTAATAAAAGGAATGAACTTACAAACTGGAGATGGTATGAAGGAAAAAGGCAGCAAGAAATGAAATGATTAGCCAGAGGATCTGATGATGAGATGATGGGAGGGTGATTACAGGTCAGACTGTTTAACAGAATGAAATCAACTGGAAGGCAGGAAACTAGAAACAACTGGGGGCGAAGAGCTGAATAAACACTACAGGAGAAACAAGAAACAGGGAAACAATAAGTGACCAGGAATCCAGGAATACACTGAAATATGGAACAAGAACCTTAAAACTCAAAATGAAAACAACAAAATGAGGCATTAAGTGTTCCTGTAAGTCATTACGTTTATACTGGCAGGTGAATGACTCAGAAACTCATCGTCTTTGGTTATTGCTAACTGTTGAACAGGGTATTTTCCAGTCAAGTAACTATGCTACCTTCAGTTATAAAATGCTGTATATATCAAACATAACGTGCAATAACTTGCAATTTAACACCTTGAAAATGTCTCATAATAATGTAGTATATTAATATTGCAACAGGAACTAACAAACTGCATCTGCTGCAAAAACTCCTTGTCAGTCCAACGCTCAGCAGAACGGATGTCAATGGACGCCATGAAGAAAAGTTCACATGAAGACGTGCTGACAGGGCGTGTTGGAGAGGGAAGTTCTTAAAGAGACAGACGCCTAATTCAAGGTGACAGATGTGGCTACAATGATTGTTTTTCATACAGCATTTTCAAATCAACTGATGGATACTTGATTGTAATAATGACACTATGTGCCTGCAAAATACGGCAATACTGCCCCTTTAAGAGACTCAGCTCTGACTCAGCCCAACACACTGGTGTCATGTGATCAGAGGAAACCATTTTGATTGGCTAAAAGCTGCTCAACTTGATCTAGTGCTGATTGCTTTGGCTTGAGTCATTACAAGGTCACCATATTTGTTGGCGAATTATTTCTGTAATAAAACTGTTGAAGAAGAATTTTTGTAGGTAAAATGTTTGCTGGCAAATATAAAATAAAAAAAATCATACATAATTGCAAAGGCTAAGTATCCATTGTGTAAAATAAGTGTAATGAATCTATATGTCTTCCATATCGGGCTGCTAAGGCTCTAAAGCAGATGAAGAGGAGGCAGCCACAGGGCAGGGAGGCACATCAAACTGTCAAATTACCAAAGTAATTAGTTAATTAACAACAAGGGCCTGCAGCTGAAGTCTAATATAGACCTTCTCCAGAACAAGCGGACCTTGAAGGCTACCCCAAGCCAAACAATAGACTAGCTTAGCATCTCGGTCTTTGTCAGTGTGAGGGAGACACTCAGTGTTCACAGATCCCACAAGCATAAATCTGTTAATTTAGAATGAATTCATCCTGCTGTACGGGTTCGGATCGCTTGGTTCACAATCACACAAAGATAGTGGATGTATTAACTTTCTGTGAGGTTATTTACCCCACAGCATGCTGCATGTTTCACAGCATCCAATGGAGAACAACAAAACATTTCTCATGGAGTTTGATGGAATGCAAAATCTGAAATTTGCAGCAAACTGAAGAAGAAGAACAAGAAGAAGAAGAGAGGGAGCTGATAGAGTCTGCCCCGCATCGCTTCATAGCCACAGGCAGTTGCACAGCACAGGAGAAATGTGCTTACATCATCACATGCTGTCCCGGCGTCCTGCAGAGGGCACTGCGAACAGATGAAACGCAGAGCGAAGGAGGCAGCCAGCCGGCCAGGAGGAGCTCACACAGGCACTCCCACGCAGCTTGGATATCTGACATTCTTGGCAGCCTCTCTGAGAGGTCAGTGGTAAAATATTCGAGCAGAGCTAACCTTCAAGAGGGACCATGTTCTAGCAAGCTGAGACCAGAGGCTTAATTCATCACTAATTAAAGTCTACATGCGGTACAAGGATAAATCTTTCTCAGTGAGTCTCAGACTCAAGTATCCGAACTAACAGTCCTCTGATTTGGACAAGATATTTTCCAAGTAAGGCAGTGGGTGATGTGAAGGCAAGGGGAGCACTTTGTTGAATTATGTTATGGCTGTAATTCTGCAAAAATGGAATACAGCAATCAGACTTTATATGCAGTTATCTCTAAATGAGCTTATTTGATCCCAACAGTGTGTGTGAATGTGAAAGTCTTCTACTGGATCATTTTTCTATTGAGTTAATATGTTAGTTATCAACAGATTATCATCATGAAATGGCTTAAAAAAACTAGAAGTAAAGATGTAAAAGTTTATGCAAATAGTTTAACAAATTTATCAACTTAAAACAGAGAACAGATGGATTTCATCTGCAGTTCATGATCAGAAAAAGATCCCAGAAAATCTCAGAAAATCTTTATATTCAAACATCCAAACAGTGGGAATAAATGTGCTGTCAGGCAGCACTGGGCTGCAGCTGCTTTGGCTTCATTAGGCTCTGATTGGTTGATACATGAATGCTTAAAGCTAAGGGTCTAACTTATAAACATGTGTACAAAGTGGATAGAAACCTTAGCCGAGCCCAGAGGAAGAACAATGGATTTGTTGGTTAAAACCTTATGAGGTAGTACAGTTATCCAATGTAATAACAACAAAACTTTAAATCTGAATCTCCAAATTGAAAGAAAAATCACAATAAGAATGCAGAAAGCTCTGATTGTCAAAAGTATCTTATTTTTACTATTAGTTAGAATAAGACGAGGAATGGCTGACTGGATATGTGTGATTAGTTCAAAGGAGAAACTTCTCTAATGACAGCCCATTTACTGCTAATTGGTTATAAAGATTTTTACAGGGAGCATGTGTTTCCATTTAATCAACCTTTTTTTCAGAGAAGGCCTTACTTATTTAGGCAAAAGAACAATATCATAAGAGTCTTTGACTTGATGTAAACATTTGATCAATTTGATAAACGGCCCTGAACAAAATATGCATTAAAAGCAAATTTCTAGAAAAAAATGGAATGAATACAATGTTTGCACACATGCAAATGGAAAACAGTCGTAACGCTTCAGCGTCGTGGAAAATCTAAACATCTTTTCACAATTTTGCTGTTTTGGAACCAAGACTTTGTTTGCAATTACTTAGATGGAAATCTTCTTGTTTTTTTCTAAGTCAACAGATTGAAATGTGACGCAGCTGTTTTTTTATTTTTTTTTCAGTGCATCTCATTGAGATCAACAAGCTCAAGCTGTAATTTTCTGGCTGTTACCAGGATCACGCAGCAGATGCCCCGGCTGGAGAGGACCGGTGTGAACTCAGTGGCACTGCATCTCCTCCTGGTTCCTCTTCATCGCCGCTGCAGCAGCATCTCTGCATCTGAGGCCAGCGAGTGCAGAGGAACAGAGCCTTCATGGCTTCCAGAGGCGTGAGTAGCCAGCTGTAGCGCCGTTTGGGATGCTGATTGGAAGTGAGTGTTGAGCGCTCAGGACAATTATGGAATCATTACTACCACCACACCGCAGGCATAATATGAACACTGTGCCATTTGTCAAGTAGCCGCAGCTTTCTAATCAAGCTCGCATGTGTTTGCGTGTTACTTTTAGTGTGATGGAGAATACACGCACATGTGCCTGAGCCTGATAGCCTTGGCATGTTGGCAGAGGAAGTGGAATGTTTCTCAGTATGTGTGTGCACATGTTTGTCAGAGGCTGGGGATGAGTCAAAGCCCTGCCCAGTGTTTTCTGCATGTTTATTTGCCTACATTTGTGATGGCATCCGAAGCGCAGCACTTGGATAAGAGTGTGTGTTTGTGTTTGTGTTTGTGTGTGTGTGCATTATTGGAGAGCAAGGAATGCCCTGCCTGTGTGCAACTGTCTAAACATGTCCCTGTCAGCTGTCTCTGTGCTCCCTTCATGGAAACATAACTGAACATGAGTTATTTGTTATTTTCACCACACCCAGAAGGATCAGCTCATATTGGTGCTGAGGAGGGAAGGAGGGGGGGTGAGGATGACCTCTGTGACCTCTTTCAGCCTGTAAGGCCTACCAGCTAATGCTCCTCTGAGATGATTATAAGGAGGATGATTGGAGGACAGGGACAAAATGCCACACATTCCTTGACTTTCTTGTTATGAATATTGAGAACTGATTGGGACCAATACAATCTGATCCTTTTGAATGACTCTGTGGTCTGAATGATAGAACTGGAGTTGGTTAGTGGGAGCCGTTCTTTATTTTTTACAACTCTGCTTGCTTCTAATGCTCTGCACACACTGCAGTAGCTCTTATTATTCTGTTTAATTAAAAAATACATTTATTTAATTGGCGAATAATTGAAATGGAAGGACTGAATGTTTGAATGCATTCTCATCGCTCACCGTTTGTTTTTGTCACACGTCGCGATGCGTTCCCTGATGTCTAACTGTTGTTGCTCTTTGGTTAATGCTTATAGTTAATGTTGTTTACTGTTACTGCTTTGCTTTAGCTGTTATATTTAATTGTGCAGAAGAAAATGTTTGTTTCTGCCAAAGCAGCTCAAGCAACTTTACTTTTTTCCTCTAGTTTCTTACTTTTTCCTTTCATTTTGTGTTTGTGGAAAGGCATATTAGTAATATGACTAATATCTTAGTCATATTGGAAATATGACTAAGATATTATTAGTACAAACAACACTTGTTGAAAAAAACTACAGGGATATTTGACATTTACATATTGAAGTAGCATATTTTATGAAAATAGAAACTTTATTTTTTGTATGAACATACTGTGGGTATTTACTTAAGATGATGAGTCAACTTTATTTGTGAACTTCACCCACAAAAACAACTAAAAGAACTATGCTACTAGCGAAGTTTCAACATTTCTTTATCATTTCCATAGTTTAAAACAAAAGTGGTTAAAGATTAGGGTGATGGCCAGGATGCTTTCCAGTCTTTAAGACAATAAATCATCAAAATGCAAGAAGAAACATGCAAAAGCTCTAATGGGAAACTTCTTGACTAAATTTTAAATCTAAATCTGTCTAAGGTCTGAAATAGTTGTACATGGTTAAGAAACGGTTTGTTTATGGGTTCAAAATGGAAGTAGGGTTCAGCGACACAAGCAGGCCATTGTTTCCAGTCAGAGGTGTGTCCAGCGCTCCAGGTGGTCTGAAACACGTTTATCTGCTTTAGTTTGGTGGTCTGTACATGATAGGACCACCCACTGACCTGACCTGACTCCCCTCACGCAGCAGAGGTACCTTCACATCTCCTGGTTAAAAATAAACTCCTTGTTTGACGTTGGGATGATTGATCAGTAGATATCAGAGCCCAGCGTGTGAGCGAGTTTTCTCTGCAGTAGGCAGTTTATGTTGATCTGTTTTGAACCTGATTGTGTCCTCAGGTCAGGGCGTTATGCAGTGACTCATGTAAATCACAGAAAGCCTCTCTTCATGGGAAACGACCAATCAGTGCAAGGCAGCAACAAGCAGGATAATGAAGGTTTAAGGAGATGTTGATTTGAGTTTTTGTAGTTCTGGTTGTTTGCCATCAATCATGACCATGAGTTAAACTGAACCCACTATCAAACAGTTTCATTCCCACTTTGACTGTATTTTGTATTTTCTGTTTTTTTCATTATCCTTTGGTGTTTGGGTTTTATTGTGTATTTTGATCATTTTCTTCCTGATGTTTGATCAGCCTAAACTTATTCAGTTAATTTTTCTGTGTTCATTATTGTTACAATGCCCTTCATCAACCCACTATTAGTTCATTTCTTCATGCTTAGTTTCTTATTTTAGTTGGTTTTTGTGTTCAGTTCTTTGCACATTTGGATCGATTTTATTTTTTTCTATCTGTGTTAGTCTTTTTCCCTTGGTTTGTACATCTTTTTTGAGTTTTAGTTCAGCTACCTCTGTGTTAATTAGTGTCTCCTTGCTTTCCTTCTGCCACAGCTGCACCACATCTGTTCTGTAGTTTTTCCATTTCCACCCCGGCCTCTGTAATTAAGCTCCTCATTGTCGGTCGCTCCTTGCCAGACTCTTTGCGAATCTTTCTATAGTTTTATGACTTGAATGGATATTATCTACTAGTAGGAGTGAAACTTTGTCATATTGCATTAGAGGGAACTGTGCCAAACAGGAATTAAAAACTAAATTAAATGAAAATCAAATGTAATTAAAAGATTTCAGATGATAGCATACAATCAGGCTAAACTGAGTGATTTTAATGCTCACTATGATTTCATCACTCAGGTTGGGTTTAATGCCAGATGAATAACCATCCTTGTTTCTAACTGAATCATCAAATCCTTTATAAAACCAGGTCTCTGTTCTTCCTTTCAGTATTAAACTCACAGTTATGCAGAAACGGCACATCGCCTGCCCTTGAGTAATCCCTGTTTGACATCGCTAACCAAGATCTCTGCAGACAAAAACAAGCTATTACTGTATGTCAAAAGAGTTCAAAGATACATCCACATTGAAACTGGAGAGGGGACTGCAGGGTCTGACAGCCATCTGCACTGATAAGGCAGCAAAAAGCATGAAGCATTCAGAGAAAAGAAGTTTCTTCTTAGCGTCAGCTCTGATGAATATATTTAACATCCACTTCTCTTGTTGTGTTCAAGAACTATGAAGAGCTAGAGAGAAGAAAGTGGGAAAAGAATGGAAAATACATGGGAGGAGTAAAGGATAGACTAAAGTAAAAAAAAAACAGATTGTTCCTCAGTGGGAAAAGCTGGCAAGGAGTTCACACTGGGTAAACATTTTCATCGCAAAGCCTGTGGAGCGATTGATACCCTGGACAAATCAAACTGTTTCACAGTTTGCCTGCATAAAACACAAATACCATCAGCTTCAAAAACCCTGGTCTTCCTGGAGCATATGGGCTGGGCTCTGCTCCTCTGGGTTTACAGAATCGAATCGATCAGAAAAACATAATTTCAAAGGATTCCAAAAACCATGAGGTCTTTCTCTCTCTCAGACATTAAGAAAACAGACTTGAGCATAGACAGCCCTGCAGACACTTGTGGCTGTGGAGTCCCCAAAGGCCCGGATGGTCTCGTCTTTTTACTATCAAAACTAGCAGCACAAACAGTGCATCAGTCTATTTCTATCAGAAAGACGCAGAGACTAAAGGAAACGGAGTGAAAATGGTGCAGGACTTCATCAGACAGAGACAGTGATTGGAGAATAGATGAGAAAGAATGAAGGCTTTTGACTCTGAACACGGACGATGGATAACATGTGTGCATCGGTTCTGCTGACCAAGCCTGCAGCAGCTCACTGCTGCGAAGCTGCAACATGTGTTTAGGCTATCAGAGCCATTAAAGTCCCATTACATAGTGCAACAACAGGGATCATAAGTCTTTCAGACATTCTTTGAACTATTTATCATGTAAATTTGCCGTGGAAGATGCATTTACATGTGTATAGAGATGCACAATGACTTAATCTCTGTTTTTATTGAATGTGCAGTGCAGAACTTTTGACATTAATGTTGAAATGCTTCACTTGGAGGGATAAAGTGAATTACCTTTCTCCGAAACACGGATGCCTCACATTTACATGAAAAAAAAGAAGAAGAAGAAGAGGTCATTTGTTGCTCATACCTTTGGTAAACCGGTGAAGTCAGTAGTTCAGCGCTGTATTCCTTACAGTGGAGACAAATGGTGCTCTGACCTGTGGGGAAGGAATGCCAACTCTCATCACAGCTGCAAACTGAGGCCGAGAGCCTGCGCTGACCGTGGGGTCAAAGGTCAGAGAAGATGTGACTCGATCCCACACAATCAATACACACGAGGTCCTAGCCTTTGGCGAGTCTGCTCTAAACGGAGCAGAGCGACTGGAAAAAACAGTGAAGAGAAAACCTCCAAGAGACGGGAAGCCACGAGAGAATAGAAAATGTGTTTTACAGAATCTAAGCAAGAATGTGTGAATAAAGAGAAAATGAAGAGGAAATAAACAGATTAAATAATTAATTCAACTTTTAATTTTCTTTAAAGAGGCAGTATGATGCAAAATAGACTTAGAGTTTTGCATCATGTTATAATGTTTTAATGTTTTTCCCTCATGAGAAACAAACCTGGAGTGTCGCTTTGATTCTTTCATACATGTTTGAGAAATCCTTTAATCTCCATGGCAACCAGTCAGCTTTTCAAAACAGCTGGGTGGATCTAGCCCTGTCTGGACGGTGCATTCTCCTCCTCACATGTGACTCCACCGCTCAGCTCCTTCAGACTAGCCAGCAGCAATTAGCAAACACCTGGTGGAACTGCACGGCTGCTAAGTTCATTAAATGATCTACTTCTCAGAGCAATGCTGGTAAAAACGTTGCTAAAGCATCGATGGAGGAGCCATGTTGAGATGACTTTCTGAAGGCGGAGCTTCAAAAAGAGCAGGACTTTCTTAAAGAGACAGAGGCCCAATTTCAAGGCGTTAAATTACAAAGTTAAATTTCTTTCAAGTCATGCTGGATATATGGCATTTTTATGACAAATGAAGATAATCTGGTTATTTGATGATGCTATAAAATGGCACTGTGTGCTGGGAACATACATAATACTGGCCCTTTAAGACAACAGAACCAGGAGAGACACTTTGACTATGGGAGGAGAGAGAGAAGACATTTCTTCTATTGAAGACATAAAACATATACAAAATCAATTAAAATATATAAATATATAAGTAAGACAACAGTGAAGTAATAAAAATACAAAAAAGTTTCAAACATTATACGCCTTATTATAAGTTTTAAGTAATGATTTAAAAGAAGACGATCTTTATAAGAGCAGATTTGTAACAACTGTGATACATTCATGCAAATATAAGAAACATTCATAAGCACCAAAGCCTAATAATTAAAATTACTGCATGCAAAATGGAGCATTTTCTAGGTTTTCCCAGTAATCGGTACTTCCTGTGCACTTTCCTAGCAGGCATTAGACAAGGTAACTCTCTCCACTGAAGCCAAATGCAGCTAGCTAACTAAACAGATAATGAGCAATTTTTGGTATGGAACGTGGAAGGCAGAGCGATTTAATTACAGCCTCTGGACACAAAGGCCTGTAAATAACCCAGCCATTTCACTAATGTCTTCATTAGATTCCCGTTCCATCAGCTGGATACAAAAACATTTTGGTTCTGCTTCAACACTGATATAAATTCATCAGACTGAACCAATCACAGGAAGACATTTTGCAGTAAAAATCAAACTGTAAATTTGGGCCGCGGCTGTAAATGTTCCACAATGAACGACGGAGCAGCAAACACAAAAGCCTCTGCATTCGTCCATTTTAACACCTAATAAAGCGGTGACATATTTATTCCATGCATGCTCGCACGTCCTTCAAAAAGGGTAAAGACTAAACATGTTGAAATGATTCATTTGCCTGGTCATTTTCCTGCTTCGCTCTGGTTTTTTACTGCGAGTTCCAGAACGCAGCATTGTTTGGCATCGCTTCAGCCTGATGGTTTTTATCTCACAGTGGGGAATGAACTCAAAATTACCTGTTGCCCATAGCTGCCTTCCTCACAAAACAAACACACGCCACTGTAAAGCCTGGCTGTAAACCGCCAGTGAAACAGCATGCTAAATATCCCACCTCTGAAGGGGCAATTTGCTAAAGCTTGTAATTCACTTAAGAAGGAACTTATAAACAACTTTATTTTATCCACAAGTTGCAACCTTTTAATGCGGAGGCATTCAAACTTGATCAGAATTAAAATTAGTTCTTTTGGGAGGCATGCAGAGTGGAGGTCAAAAGGTTAAGCTTCAGGTATATGTGAGTCAGGGGGTGTGCACGGCTCTGCTTCTTATTCCTGTCTGCCTTAATGGAATCTATAGGGGGCTTGTGTTAAACACAGCAGGGTACGTTTAGGAGTGGGAGAATGAGGCCTGGAGTTCCACTTTAGGCTTCATATAATGACTAACAAGCCCAGCCCCACTTCGTCTGCAGACCCAACATGCCACCTCCTTCCTTCCCGCTCCTCTTCTGCAGGCTGCACCCCGAAAGCCCCCTCATTCAGGTTCACTATATGAGGAACTTCTCTTTCTGCTCTGCCAGATTGGAGGAGTTTCGGCCAAACAGAGGGAATTTTTTACACGTTTGGGAGGAGGGGGCAGCGTTGGGTGCGGTTTTAAAATTTGAGCTGCTTCTCATAGTATTCAGGAAAATTCTTCAGAAAAGCACAAAACTTTTAACAAAATGCTGCGTTATCAGAGTTATTTGTTAGTTTAGTTTGAAGTCTATTGAATCTGCTGAACGTGACATCATCAATGTTTAGTCATTGGTTATTTAATATTGTAAAATCCCAGGGCAACGTCATAATTTAAAAGGACATAAAGCCACAAAAATCTCGCATCTCATTGTTTTCAAAGCAGGTTTTAATAGTTTTGGGCTTTTCATTATAATTTAGTTTTATTTTGTTGTGACTTTGTCTAATTCAGTTGGTTTGCTGTTAGTTTTCATCTCCTAAATGTTGTTTAGTTACTATTAGTTATAGAAATAGTTTTTTTTTTCATACTTTGGTTAAATTTTAGGTGCAGGAATCAAAAATATCAAAGTGTTGTGATTATGTTTACATTGATTGGGTAATAAATAGTCTACAGAAGATTTCATTTTCAAAAGATTTATTCAGTTATTGTTGAACGACCAGCTTTTGCTGTCGCCATGTTGTTGACCAACTGAACTCAGCCTGGAGGAAAACGGAAAGCCATAATCCATTGACAGTAAACAGATTCTGAGGGGGAAAATAAATCTGACAAACTAAAACTTAGAGTTATAAACATGAAAACAAAGGATATTATATATATAATTTGAAATGTTTTAGTTTTATAAACACTATATAGTTTTTCTTCGGTAATGATTTTATTTATGTCAATTAACGGAAATGTTTTCTCGATTTTTGTATTTATTTCATTAGTTTTATTTAACTATAATAACTTTGTTTTTTTAGGTTTTATGTTGCTTTTGGGCTGGAAACTGTCAGTCAAACATGGCAACTCTGGCTGATTGCTCCCTCACTCCGGCTGGGGGAGAAGCGGGTCGTTCTCAGAAGTCCGGCCGATCCCCCGCTGCTTTATGGGAAGCATTGTGATCTCAGGATCTCCCAGGGGGATCAGCGTTTATGAGGGGCCGATATCGCTGCTGATCTGATCTTCTTCTCTTTCTCGGGTTTTCATCAAAACTTTTTTTGCCCCTCGCCACGTGAAGCCCTGGCAGAAATGTGAGGCTGCGTCCATGAAAAGGACATCATATGTGAAGGCCGAGACGCTGATTGGAAAGTGGTTAGTTGAGAGAGGGGCTGAGCTTCTTGTGAACTCGACTACATGAAAGGAGAGAAACTCTTAATCTCCACCAACTCTTACTTCAAACAGCTCAGCCAATATTTAAAAGCCATCCCTGTCCAACACACATAGCTATTATGGTTATGGTTATTTTAGTTAGCAGAATAAATCATAAATGTGCCCTTGGTGAGCTTCAGTCATTTTAAAGGAGAATTATATGATCTAAAGTTTGATTTTATTTCATTTAGCAGCTAAAGAACTACTGATCTCTGTTCACAGAAGCTTTTTATTATCAGAAATAATCAGCATAATATGAAACTTCCTTCAGAATGTCAAATTTTTATATCAAATATTAATGTAAAGCAGAGTTTATAAGACCATGTGTAGTCTGTGGCTGAAACTTTATGAAGGCAGTCTTTTCTATGCCACTGACTGATCGTTTTATTGTTATTATCTACGTCTCCTCCGAAGTGGGAAGATTTGTTTCATAATTAGACCAACAGAATACCTGAAAACTGAAATTTCTTGCCCTTTTTGTTTATTACTGAACTAAAATGCTAAATGTCAGTGTAGCCATTAAACCGATTCATAGAGTAATAAAATGTCAATAAAGTCTTTACAGTATCTGAGATAAAATCACATGCTGTTCATGTCTAAAGTAAAAGTGTAACAGAGTCAGCTAAATACGGGGCTCAGGCTTTATTTAAAAAAAGCTTTTTTCTCAGTATAAGATGATAAATTTATCATCTGATTGGTTGATCTGCAAGCACAAACACTTTGACCAATCACCTTTAACTTTACCAAACGTCATAATAAATTATCTCTTACTGAAACATTTCCTATAAAAGTCAGTGTGGAACCAATCGGATATCAGAGGTGACTTAACAAGTCAAATTAGTCACGTTTAGTTGATGGAAATGGTAAAACTCAAACTGAATGTCCTCCTTTTTACAGAAAAGTTTTTCACTTTCCTTCTCCAAACAGAGATAATGTGATAAAAGGGAAACAGAAACTCATTTTCTGAATAAGTTCTGATGTGATGAACTTTCCCAGTTCAACCCTCCGACTCATTTTCCTGAGGCAACTTCTACTTCCAACATTTGACACATTCATGCTTTGCCTGATGTGGCTGTATTTCACCTCACAGCAGTAGACAGAAACAATATTAGCTTTTCTTTCTTTCTTTAACTGTTCGCTCAAACTTTGCATGACATTTGCATGGAAACAGATGGCGACAGTTTCATGTTGGAAGAAACACAAAACCTATGAAGTAAAAAAAATCATCTTTAATCATTTTTGTCTTTGACATTTGGTGAAATACTGTGTAGTATGCTCGACTGCCTTAGCTCTTACTCCACCAAATGAAATTACTTTATGTAATTTTTAATAATAAATCTAAGAGAATGAAAATCACTCGTGGGGTTCCTCAAAGCTCAGTTCTCAGGCCAGTTTTTTTTTTTACATCTATATGTTCCTTTTAACTCAGCTTGTTGATAAAACAAGTCAAATCTCAGCTGTGGCAGCTTTGATCCACAGAACCAGAGTCTTTGCTCATGATGTGAGAAATCAGCCTGAACATTATTATTAAATCAACCAACAACCATTTTGAAAATATGAGCAGAACAAAGTGTTT